CTGAAAATTGGGTTTATGTGTTCAAAAAAAAAGAGAAAATAGAATTAAAATAGGTTTTAAATATAAAATTCCAGAGGAAAATTCTGGAAATTGTCCCAATTTATTGACAATACAGCAAATATTGCTGAGGATATCAGTGCACAGGTGAGGGATTTATTAGCAAAATCCAATTTTAAATTCTATTTTGTCTTTTGGGACATGAAATTCTTTTTCTGAAAAAAAAAAAGAATTTACCAACATTTCTTTTCTAATCCAAAATTGGAATTTCCTTCCTTGGAATTCAAAAAATCTGAATTTTTTTCTTTGGAGTTTAAAAAAAATGGGAATTTCTTTCCTTGGAATTCAGAAATTGGAATTTCTTTGCTCAGAAATAAAAAAAAATTGGAATTTCTTTCCCTGGAATTCAAAAAAATGAGAATTTCCTTCCTTTGAATTCAAAAATTAGAATTTTCTTCCTTGGAATTCAAAAATGGGAATTTCCTTCTTCACAATTCCAAAACTTGGATTTTTGAGGATTTTATTCCACCTAAATCCTACAAAAACTTGGATTTTTTGGGATTTCTTTCCACCTAAATCCTATAAAACCTTGGATTTTTTGGGATTTTTTTTCCACCTAAATCCTACAAAAACTTGGATTTTTTGGGATTTCTTTCCATCTAAATCCTATAAAAACTTGGATTTTTGGGGATTTTTTTTCAATCTAAATCCTATAAAAATTTGAATTTTTGGGATTTCCTTCCACCTAAATCATGTGAAGATTTTGTGTGAAGGATTTGATTTTTAATTTTATGCTCTGCAAAAGAAATCAGAATATTTTAGAAGCATCAGGTGAGGATTTTCTTCCAGCTGTGCCCCTTTTGGTGATCATTTTCTATATCCAAAAATCAATCCAATATTTACATTTAAATTAACTTCAATCACTTAATTTTTATTATTAATTTGCTTTTAAGATTTCATAGAGTTAAATATTCAGGTAGTTCTTCAATTACTGCATTTAAAACAAAATTCTATTACATAAAGAGGAAATAATTGAGATTTGCTTCAAGTTTTAAAATCTGCTTTATTATCTTCCTAAAATCCATTAAAAAAAATGATGAAATTTTTATTTGTCATCCATTTTCAGGGAAAAAAAAAAATCTGTTTGGAGAGTCAGGCTGATTTTTGAGATTTTCAAATTTTAAGAAGTGTCTTGGTGTGAAAATTTTGATTTTTGGATTTATTGATAAGGATCTGAACTTCAGAGGGGTCTCGTGGATAAGGCTGAGGGGAATTAAAAATTAATTACTGGAGGAAATTTTTAATTAATCTTTAACTTGGACGCTAACAGAGTGAAAGAAATGTAATTATTTCTTAATTTTATGTCGTGATTACCTGGATTTCTAAATGAGAACACAAAACTGATACCTGATCAACCATTTTCACTTGAATTTTTATTTTACCTGCTCTTCCTTTTTTTGAATTTCCAACCTCTGATTTCAACATCCTATGCAATAAAAACTTCATTTAATCGTTGCTTCTTGCGAAACCCCCACCCTGCAAAAATATTTACGACAACAAAAAGGATACAAAATGATTTAAATTCATATTTTCTCTATTTTTTTTTAATTTTTTTTCAGTGGTCCTATGCCCTGGAGAAGCCCAACACTGGCAGCATTTTTGCCATTTCTTGGTCCATGGATGGCACCCAGCTGGCAGGAGCCTGTGGGAATGGCCAGGTCATCTTTGCCCACGTGCTGGAACAACACTGGGAGTGGAAAAATTTCCAAATTACTTTAATTAAAAGAAGAACCATGAAGGTAAAATCACCTCAGAGCCTGATCCCAAATCCTGTTTTAATACAAAATAGGAATTTAGAATTTAATTTGTATTTTCTCACATTGACTCACAATGTTGAAGATTTTCGAAAATTTCCATTTTTTTCCATAACACAAATCCAAAATTACACATTTAGACTTTTCAGCATCAAGTCCTTCAATTCCTTCTTAGACCCTTAAATGATTTTTTTTTTCATCTTTGCCCACGTGCTGGAACAACACTGGGAGTGGAAAAATTTCCAAATTCCTTTAATTAAAAGAAGAACCATGAAGGTAAAATCACCTCAGAGCCTGATCCCAAAGCTTCTTTTAATACAAAATTAAGAATTTTGAATTTAATTTGTATTTTCTCACATTGACTCACAATGTTGAAGATTTTCCATTTTCCAAAATTTCCATTTTTTTTTTCCATAACACAAATCCAAAATTACGCATTTGGACTTTTTAACATCAAGTTAATTAAGAATTTTCACACCTCTTAAATATTTATTTCAAATAATCAACTGTCAAAACTGGAATTTTCACACATCTTAAATATTTATATCAAATAATCAACTGAGCCAATCTCAAAACTGGAATTTTCAGACCTCTTAAATATTTCAAATAATGAACTGAACAAATCTCAAAACTGGAATTTTCACACATCTTAAATATTCATATCAAATAATCAACTGAGCCAATCTCAAAACTGGAATTTTTAGACCTCTTAAATATTTATTTCAATTAATCAACTGTCAAAACTGGAATTTTCACATCTCTTAAACATTTATTTCAAATAATCACCTGAACCAATCTCAAAACTGGAATTTTTAGACCTCTTAAATATTTATTTTAAATAATCAACTGTCAAAACTGGAATTTTCACATCTCTTAATTATTTATTTCAAATAATCAACTGAGCCAATCTCAAAACTGGAATTTTTACACCTCTTAAATATTTATTTCAAATAATAACTGAACCAATCTCAAAACTGGAATTTTCAGACCTCTTAAATATTTCAAATAATCAACTGAACTAATCTCAAAACTGCAATTTTCACACATCTTAAATATTTATATCAAATAATCAACTGAGCCAATCTCAAAACTGGAATTTTCAGACTTCTTAAATATTTATTTCAAATAATAACTGAACCAACCTCAAAACTGGAATTTTCACATCTCTTAAATATTTATTTCAAATAATGAACTGAACCAATCTCAAAACTGGAATTTTCAGACATCTTAAACATTTATTTCAAATAATCAACTGTCAAAACTGGAATTTTCACATCTCTTAATTATTTATTTCAAATAATCAACTGAACCAATCTCAAAACTGGAATTTTCAGGCCTCTTAAATATTTCAAATAATGAACTGAACAAATCTCAAAACTGGAATTTTCACACATCTTAAACATTTATTTCAAATAATAACTGAACCAACCTCAAAACTGGAATTTTCACATCTCTTAATTATTTATTTCAAATAATCACCTGAACCAATCTCCAAACTGGAATTTTCAGGTCTCCTCCATTTGAAATTATTTTCTCAAGGGGAATATTTCACGAATGAATTTTCATTTCAGCTCTTTTACATTGAATTCCCCTTTTGCTCAGGTGCACAATGTCATCAACGATGCCGTGGATTTGTTGGAATTTCGGGACAGGGTCATTAAAGCCTCGCTGAATTTTGGATTTTTGGTGGTTTCCACTTGCCTTCAGTGTTATGTGTTCTCGTGAGTAAAAACCAATTCGTTCACATTGTTTGGGAAAGAATGGGGAAAAAAAACGTGATTAATTAATTTATTTCTTAATGAATTGAAGTATTCAGCGGAATGTCTGCGCCGTGAACGTTAGTGAAGATCACTGGGAAAGAGTCAGAAATAGTTTTAAAATATTTAAAAAAAAAAAATAAAATAATCCATATAAATATCATTTAGCTGGATTTTAAGACTCCTGCTGCTGGTGTGAAGGGATGAAAAAATCAAACCAAAATTATTATTATTATTGTTATTATTATTATTATTATTATTATTGTTATTATTATTATTATTATTATTCCATCAAATTTTGATTTATCAGTGTTCCATGGCTTCCTAAATGCTGTTTGAAGTAGGAAAACCTCCCTTGTAGGAATATTTAATATTAATGTGTATTTTCCATGCTGAATCCAAGTTTGTGGTTGAAAAATGTGGGAATTGCTGATTTTAATGCTGATTTTTTATATTTTTTTTATTTTTTTTTTTCTATTTGCAGGACAAAGAATTGGAACACTCCATTGATTTTTGACCTGAAGGAAGGAACTGTGAGTTTAATTCTCCAAGCAGAAAGGTACCTGGCTTCTTAAAATATTCATTATGAACTTAGTATCACTATTCAATAAATTAAAAATAAATTGATTAGCTGTGTTATTAATCTAGACATTTATTTCTTCTATTTATAATAAATTTCCTTCTTGGGTACATATTTAGAATGAACAAAATCAGCTCAAATTGAAAGATGAGAAATAAATAAAAAAAAAAACTCAGATAAAATCATAAATCTTTCACATAATAAATATTTCTCCTGTAAAAAGATCATTCATTAAAACCAAAATTTCCACACAGAACTTCCAGAATATCTCGAAAATTTCCAGCTTAGGATATTAAACAATGATTTTCCCATTATTGAAAATATCATTTTTTTAAATATTATTTAATGATTTACTTCTTCGTTGTTTGAATTTTTTTTTTAATTTTTTTTTTTTTTTTAGGCATTTTCTCCTTGTGGATGGTGGAGGACTTTATTTATATTCTTATGAAGGCAGATTAATTTCTTCTCCAAAATATCCAGGCATGAGAACAGATATTTTAAATTCCCAAACAGTGTCCCTGAGCAATGACACCCTGGCAGTGAAGGACAAAGCTGATGAGAAAGGTAAAATTGGATTTTATTTCGAATAAAAAGAAATCTATTTCTTATAAAAATGATTTTTCAAGTTCTAGGTCTTGCTTAAAATTCATTTAAAAATCTTCTCAACTCTGAATTTTAAACCCATGAAATATTGACAGGAAATAATTGAATCGAGTTTTTATTCCCTGATGGGATTTTTCAATTTTCTCTCTTTCTAAGCTTTCCCATTGATTAAATTCATGAAATGAATTAATTAAGCTGTGGGTTAAGATTGACTCAATCTGATATTGGAAATGTGGATTTATTGAAATTGTTTGGTGTCATTTCTGTAAAACCCCGTTTGAGATAGGAAATGAAAAACAGGAATGGGAAGTGAAAATTCAGATTTTTTTTTTTTTTTCAACACTGTGAAAATCATTGGTAAAACTCACACAAAATATTTTATCCACTTGGACTAAATTACACTCAAAAAAAAAATTGAATCACTGGAAAAATCCATTAAGAACTTTTTTAATTATTGTTTTTTAAATTATTTTTAAATTATTCATTTAATTTAATTAATTATTTAATTATTTTTACATTTCATTTTAATTATTTATTTTTTAAATAATGCTTTCAATTAATGAAATATATAATTATTTTTCTTCAGTTATTTACATATTTGATGCTTTATCTGGGAAGCCACTGGGTGATGGAAAACCTCTGACCCACAAGGTAAAAGGAAAAATTTAATGTTTTTATTTCAAATTAAAGAAATTAAAGAAATTAAAGAAATTAAGAATCACTCATGGCTCTCTTCTAAAATGGGACTAAAAACCCATTAAAGTTTAAAAATCTTGAAAAGGAGATTTTCAGCTGCCTTTTAATGCTTTGTGTTGTCTTTAGGATTGTTTTAATCATCATGAAATTCAGTTTATTAAATCACAAAATCATGGAATGGGTTGAGTTGGGAAAGATTTTAAAATAATCTTAATTCTCACCCCATGGAATGATTTATTCCACAGAGAAATCACACACACAAAAATATTTTTTCCAACCCACTTTATGAAAGAATTTTGTTCCTTGTTTTTAGGGAAAAAAAAAAAAAAAAATCAAATTGAATATCCAAATAGAAAAATCTCCAAAATAAAAATCTTTTTTTTATCTTTTCAGACAGAAATTGTGGAGATTGCTTTGGACCAGAAAGGATTGACAAGTGAGAGAAAAATTGCATTTATTGATAAGAACAGAGATCTTTTCATCACCTCAGTGAAAAGGTTTGGGAAGGAGCAGAAAATTGTCAAAATAGGTGAGAAAAATTCAAATTGATGTTTGGGAAAGTGCTGGGAGGGAAATGAATTTTTTATTTAATATAACATTTTGCTTCATTAATAATGAAATGGAATTTTTTTTAAAAAAAAAGCTGTGCCTTTTCTATGATAGAGGTAGAAATAATTTTAGTAAATTTTACTTAAATTCTGAGAATTTTTCTATCACTTCCATGCAAAGAAACTTATAAAATATTCCAAATTTAGAATAAAACCTTAGAAAACCAACCCCCCAAAAAAATGCTGAATAACCACTTTGATAAAATTCCCTTCATTTGAAAAATTTCTCCTGGAAATGTCTGCATGATTTATTTAATGATTTCTATATTTTAATTCTCATTCTTTATAAATGAAGGTACAATGGTACAAAGTTTGGCCTGGAATGACACCTCCAACATCCTCTGTGGCATTCAGGATTCCAAATTCACAGTCTGGTATTATCCCAACACAGTTTATGTGGATAAAGATCTTCTCTCAAAAACCCTGTATGAAAAAGATGCCAGGTAAAAAAAAAAAAAAAAAAAAAAAATTTTAAAAATCCTTTTTAATCCAATTATGATTTATTTTCAATATTTCCATCCTTCCTTAACAAATTGTGGTCAGGAAAAATAAAAGCTGAGCTTGCAACTTTTAAAATTCTTCTGTTTCTTGATTGGGAAATGAGGAAAAAAAGGGTTTGATAAGGAAAATTAT